GGTCCAGAAAGGAGAATGCTCGATGGAGCCAAGCTTGACAGGGTGAGATGGTTTCCAGTGAGAGAGGGTCTGGGTGTGGGTTAAGTTGTGCTTAAAATGCATGGCAGGACAGAAACCTACATGTAGAAGTTTTACCCTCTGCTCTGATGATCCACAAACCTGCCCTCAGCAAGTAAGGAACCCAAGGAGCCTTCAATAAATACATTTAATGATGGTCATAATCTTGAGCTCCCTTTTCATGCCTCAAAACCTCACATATACCATTTCAACTGGTAGCAGTATGATTCTGCAGGAAAACACAGCCTGGCATTTTCCAAATTCTCTGTGACTCTGCCTTCTCTATCTCTTAATTTAATTTTGCTTTATTGCTGTAACTCTTTGAAGGAATTTGCCAAATTAAAAGGCTTCCTGCACTTGGGAATGAGATTTTTTTGAGCTGTTGTCCTGTTTTGCTGTTTTTCCTGGAGAGACGCACAGTTTTGCACTTCCACAACAAAATATCATGCTTCTGAGACTATTGTCACTGGACAAGAACTTTGAGATGACAAAGTTCACATCTGAAGTGATGAGTCAACAGGCCCAATCTCCATGTCTCAGGCATCAGTGCCTGTCTTGGACTCACAATGGGTCATACGTAGCTGACTGGATTCCACACATATTGAAATATTAAAAGGGAAACCAAAAATAATGAAATATAAGAGAAGAGATGAATATTTTGAGGCAGATTTTAGACAGTTGAACCAAACTGTTACCCAAAGGCTGTCTCTTCTTTCCCTTCTCCAGCCAACACTCTACGCAGCCGAGAGACTCAATTACGTGCGTTCCTCAGGCATTCAGTATTATTCTTTTTGTTATGGCTAATGTTACGCATTTATTAAGGTTCACAAAGCACATACTGTGCGCTATGGTTTGGGTTACATGGGGGGGGTTCTGATTTTGTTAGATAACAGATTTATTTGTAAACAATGACATTCTCTCCATCAAAATGATACTAATGCCAGTAGGAAGCTTTGGTACTGACGGCTAGTCATAAGGTAGCTTCTTGAAATCAGCTGCTTGAAGGAATACTTAAACACAGGAGATCCAGGTGCCAACTTGCGTCTTAAAGTATCCCTTTTAGAGTAGGTTAAAGCCATTTCCCCGACTTAGCACTGCTCAGTTTCTACAGGGATATCCATTTAAATTCCTTTTAATCTGCCACACAGAAATGCATGCTGTATATACCAGTTTGTGAGAATAGTGTACAGACAAAGTCAAATGAAAACTGCCGCACATGATGACAATCACAGTTCCTACTGGGGGATACATGTACTGTATTCTATCGGACAAATAAAAGTGCAATATTTTTCACAGCTTCTAAACTCTATGACTGCAGCCAGAATGAACTGACATTTTATATAATATCTTGCAAATACATATAGGAATAGCGTAGCTGTAATAGTCAACTGTACCAGGTTTGCAAAAATGGTAATAGATCAGACCATTGCCTCAGACTATAGCTTCAAAGATACATTTAGATTACATTGTATGAAAAATGCAGTTTACATCCCGTCTATGATATTTTGTAGATTTCTGGCATATTCTTCATGGTGACATTTGTGACAATGTAAATGGCTACTCTTCTCTAAGTAAAATCATATAAACTAAGACAGAGCTTGTCATTCTTCTGACAAAGTGAATGTATATACAGTGCTTATCCCAGGCCCTACCACCATACTAGAAAATGAAGTGGATTTTCAAGGATGCTTTTAAAAATATGCTTCCCACAGATATTTTTAGTATAGAGAGAATAACCATATGTTTAGAATAGTTGCTTAGACAAATCTTTACAAAAAGCAGAGTAATAGATTGGATTGGTTCCTGGAAGCCCCTTTCAGACTTATGGTTACAAGACACATTGTTGACCAACAAAACATTCATGATTTACTGTATCATAATATGCTTTACGGTGCTTTGCAGAATAAGCATAAATGACTTCAGTGAGTTGGGTCCTGTCTTCATGCTCCCACGCTCTAAGAAGGCCATCAGCATAGGGAGGCTATTTCCTGTTCTCAGCAGGAAGACTGAATTGCTCCCACGTCCTGTTCTATCCACACTGACTGTAAACTTGCCCTTTATTCCCTGTGAAGGAAGTAAATTAACCTCTCAATCCCTTAAAGAAATTCTTTTGTGAGTAATTATTCCTATGAGAGCATCTTGTCCTCAGCCTACCTCGCCTTGTGTAAACACCCTGGCCTTCTTGCCCACAGGTGGTTAAACACAAAGACTTGGACCCAGGGAAGGGAGGGACGGGCAAGGATTCAGAGAGCTCAGAGTCTAGGTCCCGTCTCCACATGAGATGTTGCATTAGTGTCTTCTTAAGCCCCAGAGAGAGAACATAGTTCAGTAATTGTAAAACTGATCACTTTTAGAACATAATTTGCATATCTAAAAATATTTTCTAGCTACACACTTCAGAGAACTTAAAAACACTAATCCTCACAGACTACATTGGACAACAGTCAGTATGCACCCTAGCCAAGTTATATCATGACCGAAAAATAATGCGGCCAAAGCCCCCAAGCAGAAAAGGAAATGCACTGAGTAGATAGATGCTACCAAGGAGCATGGCTGCTGGAGCAGGAAAATGGCCACCCCCAGGTTTCAAGGAAACAAATGCTTCTAGCTCATTAACCTCAAGAGAAACTTAGGTTTTATATTTGATGCAAAATAGGAAAACTCGGGATATACTGTGTTCCTAATTTCAGAGTGAGTCTGTAATAATATTTCATGCACTGTTAATTAATGCGAACAGGTCTTCCTTTTAGCAGAACGCGGGATAGATGTCTGTCTGTGACTATGCTGACCACTCGGTCTGAAGATCAGACATAATTCAGGGTTGTCGAAGGTGATTCACTGAATTTAGAAGTCACACCAAACAAACTGCAGAAGAACTTTTTTTAAATCTCAAAGCCATAATATACAGTTTCCCCCCCTTGTTTTTATTATGTGAGAGGAAACAACATTCTTGGCAAAATACCCTACACCTTTTTCTCACTAACGCCAGGATCTAGGAATTTGCCCCCAAGAGTGGCAGTCAGCCCCTAGGAGGCATCCACTGAGGAAGGTGGGGGGGGGTGGATGAATGTGTCATTTAGTAAGATGTCGCTTATTAGAATGCAGTTTAGTATGTTGTAAAAACTACCTGTATTTAGAAGCGTTAAGTTGAAAAGGGTCCAACGTAGCAAAGCATTTTATTTTCACGGATACTTGTTAGAAGATGGCAAAAAGACCTTTCTTTGATCTCGGTTACAGATACACACATTTGCTATTAGGAAATTCCATTTCCTCTGGATTCTATGCTACATTAATCAAATCTAAAAGATATATCTACGAAACAGATATATGATGCTTTCTCAGCATCTGAAATCCTAGGTTATATGTATTTTCAGTCCAAGCACTAATCTCTCTAAATAAGTGAAACTATATTCAACTAATAGGTTAGAGTCACATAATACATCAACTATACAGTATCAGATTCTGAAAATCTAACAATGCTGTGTGAGATGTAATTATCTAGAAGAAGAGATATGTATAAAAATAGCAATATCCCTAAAATATTCTGCTGAGTTACAGCTTTTCTTGCTGGAAAGGTGACCACACTGCCGTGAGATGTGTATGAAATGTCTGCTCGAAAAACAAAATTAGAAAATACTCTCTCATACCAACTCGCTAAATGTAGGACTACGTCATGAAAACTGCTCTCAGAAGGATACAAATATAGAGAGAAAGATATCTGTGTGTGTGACCAACAAGAAAACATGGAGTCTATTTATTGGTTAGTTTTGAAAGGGGGCCCACACTTGTAATTAATTAATAGATACGTATATATATGATCAAAAACACTCACGAGAACCGACACGTCTTATTTCCCCACTGCCCTCCAGTTTTTTAATTGACAGTCATCACCCACCATTTTCTAAGATTATTGCCTGACAGAACAGAAATTCCACTGCGTGCTCTCGACAACGCAGCGAGAAAGAAACAGTCTCGTTAATTCTCCTGTCGTGACTCATGTGCTGGGCTTGTGCTTTTTGGAGGAGTCTTTGATCTGCCGCCGGTCTCAGAGGCTCGTCTCCCGGAGGAACATGGTACCGATGTTGTAGGAAACCTTTTTTATTCGCGATGAAGAAAGAGAAGGCTTTAGCTGCTTAGGACCAGTTCTTACCTCCAGGAAATAGCAGATCCCAGGGATTTCCTTTGGAAAGTTCTCTGGAAGCTCCTCACGGGACCGAGGAATAAATGCAAAACTTTCTTCTCTTTTTAATAATCTAAGAAGAAAACATATAATGTGAATCACATGGGCAGGAGAAATGAGAAACAGTGGACAGAAGTTTTAGAGCTAGGGGGCCTAGCAATGACTGAGCTCATGTTAAATGCCCTATTTCTTTGTATGGATATGGTTTTCATTAGATTCCAAATACTAGGAAATATTATTTCTCAGGGAAAAAAATATCTTCATGTTACAATAATAATTTTAAAAAGCAAAGTTGCCCCTGGTACTAACTGAAAATATTTGTTCAAATTTGATTTTTTTTTTCCCCTAAACAAAAGACTAAAGAAACTGCCTGCAAGTTTTTATTCTCACATGCAGCATTTATCCTTTCTGTTTTTAAAATCTGCTTAGATTCTGGAGCACTCCTGTAATGTTTCATAGACTCTCAATAAGCTTTAAATACTGTGTGTGATACACGTAAATCAAGGATTTCACTTTTGGAATGACATTCATAATTCCACGAATCTGTCATGTTTGCTTACTGATCTCTAGCAATACGCAGCTTCTAAACTCACAAGCATTTATTGGTCAAACAGTTTGACTCTTTCCTTCCAGTCATACTTAAAGACTCTTTAGTGCACTAATACTGCAGATTTATTCTTGTCCAGTTCCACGAAATGTTCCGTTAGATACTTAAACCGAAAAATGTGGCCCAGCAATTCAATTTAATTCAACCATTCTTATTCTGTAACTAACTTTGTGCCTCTTAATCTCCCTCACCTCTTTCTCCTCTGCCCAACACCCTCCTTCCTGGCAGCCACCTGTTTGTTTGCAGCATCTATAATGCTCTTACTTTTTGTTATGTTCAGTCATTTGTTTTTTAGATTCCACATAAAAATGAAATCACAAAGAATTTGTCTTTCTCTGTCCATCATACCCTCTAGGTCCATCCATGTTGTCCCAGTGGCAAGATTTCATTATTTTTTATGGATGAGTACTATTCCATTGTATGCATATGCTGTATCTTCTTGCTGCTGCCATATTTTGACTATTATAATAATGCCGCAATGAACATTCTATGCATATATCTTTTTTTTCAAATTTTGTAATTTATTTTTTACTTCCCACATACATCTTTCCAAATCTGTATCTAGACGGTTAGATTAACAGTTCACCACTCTTTCTAAAGAACATCCAAAACACGTTATGTTTCGCTTCTGAGATGATTTTTAGTTTAAATCCCTATGTGAATTGAAATCACTCACATGTGGGTTCCTTTTTTGTTGCTGTTCTCATTATCATGATTATTATCAGCAATCATACTGTTATTTTTAATCAAATATAGATTAATTCTTTGCTTTCCAACTTCTTAAAGGAGTCCACAGCAACGTGTAGTTTGTCTCATAGTAGGGAGGGAAATGTTCGCTGTTTGAAGACCTGCACAGGCATCTGTCCATTCATCCAGGAAAAGGCATGTTATTGTTGCTCAATGTGCTTGCGTCAGAGAGATGGTCACTTCTCAAGGAAACCACTGATGTCCTGAAGACCTCTCAAAGGTATATACACCGACTCCTGAGGTAGGTATTTTGGTGGGGGAGGGGGAAGGAACTATTTCAGCATTTCTGTACCCTATAAGATGACAGGATGCTTTTCACATCATAAATGCTCAATAAAAGCATTTTAAATTTTGCAAGACAATCTTAGAATACTGTCTTGAAGAAGATCTTAGGAGTCACGTAGTGGGAGAGCTCCTCACTCTATAGGTGACAAAAGTGAAGGGAAGTGAGGTCAGATTTCTCCTCTAGGTCTTGCGGCTAAGAACTGATAGAGTCCAGAGCGCAATCCGGAGGTCTTTTTTCTCAGTCACGTAACCTATTAAATTTGAGTTCTTTCCATGTGCTCAAAGGCACTCAGGAAAACACAAATGAAGTCTTTCCTCTGGTCAGTGCTTTTCATTAGTATTAACAATAAGCTCTGCAGCCTCTTGATCTGTATGTATGTAGCAGGACCTCTTTTTTTCTGAGTGACTCTATCTGATAATAAACCTTGAACATCCCTCTCTCTTCCAATAAATCACATCTACCCTCCAAAAAAAAGCCAAAAAATTTAACTCATATTAGCAGTGATCCCTCTAAAAGTTAGGAAATACTTAGCTTAATTTCGAATACTTTTTTCATCTTTATTCTGTATTTATCATTGTTTAGCATGGTGGCCAGACACATGCTAAAGTCCCTATTCATCAAATAAAAACACAGTTATAGTCACCACCCTGTCCTTAACTGAGCTGGGAATTTTGGTGCTAATACATTTTTAAAGAAAACTTTGAAACAAAGCTTTCCTACCTAATCAGAAATTCAATTTATCAAAATTCTCTATGTTTTGCTAGTTCAAGTTAAATATCTTTTCTTATTAGTATTTTGTTTTCCTCAGATAAATATCCGGGAGTGGAATTGCTGGGCGATACGGCAGTTCTACTTTTAATATATTTGAGGAATTTCTATACTGTTTTCCCGAATGGCTGAACTAATTTACACGCCCCCCCCAACAATGAATGAAGGTTCCATTTTCTCCACATCCTTGCAAGCACTTGTTATTTGTTGTCATTTGGATGATAGCCATTCTGACAGGTGTGAGGTGATATCTCATTGTGACTTTGTTTTTTATTTCCTTGATGATTAGTGATGTTGAGCATCTTTTCTTGTGCCTGTTGGTCATATGTGTATCTTCTTTAAAAAATATGTCTGTTTAGGTCCTCTCCCAGATTTTAAATTTGTCTGTCTGTTTTGTTGATGTTGAGTTGTAAGTGCTCTTTGTATATTTTGGATATTAACCCATTGTTGGATAAATAGTTTGCAAATATCTTCTCCCATTCCCAATATTTTTATTTTGTTGATAGTTTCCTGATAGTTTACTTTGCTGTGCAAAAAGTTTTTAGCTTGATGTAATCCCATTTGTTTATTTATTTGCTTTTGTTTCCCTCGCCTAAGGAGACATATTAAAAAAAGATATATATACAGCTAAGATTGATGACAAAGATCATACTGGCTATGTCCCCTCCTAAAACATTTATTACAATTTCAGGTCTTATACCTATGTCTTTAATCCACTTTGAATCTATTTTTTTATGGTGTGAAAATTAGTCTAATTTGATTCTTCTGCATGTAGCTGTCCAGTTTACCCAACACCGTTTATGTAAGGTGTTGTCGTTCCCACATTGCATGTTCATGCCTCCTTGCTGCAGATTAATTGACTATATGAGTGTGGGCTTAGTTCTGGGCTCTTTATTCTGTTCTATTGACCTTTTGGTCTGTTTTTGTGCCAGTACTATACTGTTTTGGTTATTGTTGCTTCATAGTATAATTTGAAATCAGAGAGTATGATACCGCCTTAAGATGATTTTGGCTACTCTGGGTCTTTTGTGTTTCCATACAAACTTTAGAATTACTTGTTCTAGTTCTGTGAAAAATGACATTGGTGTTTGACAGAAATTGCACTGAATCTGTAGATTGTCTAGAGTAGTATGATCATTTTAATAATATGAGTTCTTCCAACTCATAAGCATGGTGTATCTTTTCATTTGTTTCTTATAGTATTCTGAGTATGAGTCTTTTAGCTCCCTAGTTAGATTTATTCTTAGGTATTTTATTCTTTTTGATGCAATTGTAAAAATAAATTTCTTAATTTTTCTTTCTGACAGTTTGTTAGTGGTATAGAAATTCAACAGAATTCTGTATATTGATTTTGTGCCTTTCAACATCACCAAATTCATAGATAAGTTCTAATAGTTTTCTTTTGTGGCATCTCTAGTATTTCCTATGTTTATTATCATGTAAACAGCTCATACAACTTAATAACAAAGAAACAAGCAACCCAATCCAAATATGGGCAGAAGACCTAAACAAGCAATCCTCCACTGAAGAAATACAAATGGCCAACAGGCACATGAAAAAAGTGTTCAATGTTGCTAATTATCAGAGAAATGCAAATCAAAACTACAATGAGATATCACCTCACACCCCTCAGAATGGCCATCATTAGAAAGTCCACAAACAATAAATGCTGGAGAGGGTGTGGAGAAAAGGGAACCCTCCTAAACTGTTGATGGGAATGTAGCTTGATTCAGCCATTATGGAAAACAGTATGGACATTCCTTAAAAAACTAAAAATAGACTTACCCTGTGATCCAGCAATTCCACATCTGGGCATATATCCAGAGGCAACTTTAATTTGAAAAGATACATGCACCCCAATGTTCATAGTAACACCATATACAATAGCCAGGACATGGAAACAACCTAAATGTCCATTGACAGATCACTGGATCAAGAAGTTATGGTATATTTATACAATGGAATACTACTCAGCCATAAAAAAGAATAAAATAATGCCATTTGCAGCAACATGGATGAACCTAGAGATCGTCATTCTAAGTGAAGTAAGTCAGAAAGAGAAAGAAAAATACCATATGATGTCACTCATACACAGAATCTAAAAATAAAAGCAAAAAGAAAAGAAAAAGAAAGAGCACTATTGAACTCATCCACAAAACAGAAACAGACTTGCAGACATAGTAAACAATCTAATGATTACCAAGTAAAAGGAGGTGGGAATTTGGGAGTCTAGATTTTCAAATGTTAACCACTATATATAAAAATAGATAAAAAACAAAATTTTTTCTGTATAGCACAGGGAACTATATTCAATATCTTGAAACAACCTTTAATGAAAAAGAATATGAAGACAAATATATATGTGTGTGTGTTTATTTATATATATGCATGACTAGGACATTATGTTGTACACCAGAAATTGATACACTGTAACTGACTATACTTTAATAAAAATACATACATTTTAAAATTTAAAGTCATTTTGTCTGATATAAGTATCACTACCCTGGCTTTCTTTTCATTTCCATTTGCATGGAATACTTTTTCCCATGCCCTCACTTTCAGTCTGTTGTGTGTCTTCAGATCTGACAGTCTCTTATAGGCCACAAATAAAAGGATGGTGATTGTCTATACTTTCAGCCACTGTATGTCTTTTCATTGGAGC